AAAAAAAAAAAAAAGAACAAAAATGGATACTAACTTTAAACCACATACAAAAACTGAAACAGATTCAAGATCAAAAGGAATCTTTTTTGCATCCAAGGACAACATCAAGAAAGTGAGTCTGGGTACCATGGCTCCTGCCTGTAACCCCAGCACTTTGGGAAGCTGGCACAGGAGGATCACTTGAGTCCAGGAGTTTGAGATAAGCCTAGGCAACAGTGAGACCCCATCTCTACAAAAATTAGAAAAAAGTAGTCAGGTATGGTGTCACATGCCTGCCTGTAGTCCCTGCTATGCAGGAAGCTTAAGGTTAAGATCACTTGAGCCCAGGAATTGCAGGCTGCAGTAAACTGTGATGACACCAAACGCACTCTAGCCTGGGAAACAGGGCAAGTGAAAAAATAACCAACAAAAAATGAAAAGGCTGGGCGCAGTTGCTTACGCCTGTAATTCTAGCACTCTGGGAGGCCAAAGCAGATAGATTGTCTTGCGCTCATAGGTTCCAGATCAGCCTGAGCCAGAGCAAGACCTTGTCTGGAAATATAGTCGGACATTGTGGCGGGCACCTGTAGTCCTAGCTACTCAGGGAGCTGAGGCAAGAGAATCCCTTGAGCCCAGGAGCTGGGGGTTGCTGTGAGCTATGAGGCCGTAGGACTCTACCGAAGGTGACAAAGAGAGACTCTGTCCCCCCTCCCAAAAAAGGGAGAAAACACTTACAAATCATATAACTGATGAGGAATTAACAACCAGAAAGAAACTACAAAGAACTCCAACTCAACAAATAACCAAAGAAAAAATTCAAAAAAAAGCACAGCACTTAGACACAGAAGATGATATACAATGGCCAATAAGCACATGAAAAGATGCTCATTACCACTAAATGGAAATCAAACCACAATGAGATAACACTTCACATCCATTAGGATAGCTATTATTTAAAAAAAAAATAGAAAACATTATTGGTGAGGATATAAAGAAATCAGAGCCCTGTGCACTGCAAGCAGGAATACAGTATGGTACAGCCACTATGGAAAACAGTTTGGCAGTTCCCCAAAAAGTTACAAACCTATAATATGGCCCAGGAAATCCACTCCTAGATATATATACAAATGAATCAAAAGCAGAGACACAAACAAATATATTTGTACCCAAGGATCGCAGTAACAGAATGAAGAAAAAAAAATCCAAGTGCCTATCCAAGAGATGAATAAACAAAATGTGGGAAGTGTGTGTATCACACAATGAAATATTAACCATAAAAAGGAATGAAATATGAATGTGCGTTGGCAACATTATGCTTAGTGAAATAAGCCAGATACAAAGGACAAAATATGACACAAAATATGATTATACTTATATAAGGTACTTCGATAAGCACATTCATAAAAACAGAAAGTAGAATAGTGTCCAGGCTGATGCTGTTTATTTTTTTTGGAGACAGAGTCGCACTTGGTCACCTTTGGTAGAGTGCCATAGGATGTTAGCTCACAGCAACCTCAAACTCTTAGGTTCAAGTGATCCTCTTAACTCAGCCTCTCAAGTAGCTGGGACTACAGGCACTCACCACAATGCCTATTTTTTAGAGACAGGGTCTCTCTCACTCTGGCTCAGGCTAGTCTCCCACCTGTGAGCTCAGGCAATCCACTCACCTCATCCTCTCTAATGCTGGGATTACAGACGTGAGCCACTGCGCTGGGCTCATCATCTGGTTATTAACTGAGATGATGAAGTGTGATTACATTGGAGAAGTGTGATGGATGATCACAGAGCTAGGAAAAGTGTTATGAACCTCAGTCAGGTTAAACACATGTGATCAGTCCCAGAATTGATGTGTATACAACTCAAAAATATAGAAAAATGGCAGAATAATCTGATCTCATCATGCCAGTTTAGTTTCATTGTACTGACAACATCAGCTGGCATGAGGGACCATGAAGCAGCAAGAAGAAAACATACAGAAGGGAAAATCCTGGGATTCTTTTTCTTTTTTTTTTTTTTTTGAGATGGAGCCTCAAGCTATCCCCCTGGGTAGAGTGCCATGGCATCACACTCACAGCAACCTCCAACTCCTGAGCTCAAGCGAGTCTCCTGCCTCAGCCTC